ACTTGCCAATGCCGACAACAGTCCCGTTGTGATGACCTTATGAAGAAGAGTTACGTTGTGGTAGTGCGCCCATGCCTGTTTCACATTCAGGGCTTGGCTGCGATTATCAGCTAGGAAATATGGCCGAAACTTTTGCTCGCCTGACATAAGTCTTGCCACAAAAATTAGAATTGATTGGGTCTGTTGCAGGTCTGACTGGCTTGAGCTACTGTGCATAGATATGCTGGCGCACAGCCAGGATTTCTTATGGGGTTCACCAATACTGTAAGCACGCCTTCACGTCCTGACAGGAATTTATTAACTTGTTGATCTTGAGCGCTGTTAAAACGACCAATGCGAATTCATATTAAAACATAGGGACAAGACAGTTCGCCCTGGTTAAAATGGAACGTTATAAAAGTATAAGCGAGCGGGAGAGTTGAAATGCTTAAAATGGTAGAAAGCCACAGTGATATTTGCAGCGTAAATATCAGCATTGTGTGAATACTCCCAGCTTTGAGCCAAACGTTTTAACGCAGGTATTTTTGGATCAAGATATGAACGCATCTATCGATGCTGCTAAGGCGGCTAACCTGTGCACACTTGAGACAGATATTGTTTTTTGGTCTTCACGCTACTCTCCCGATTTTCCGATGATGCTCCTCCATCCCAATCAAAATAAAAAACTATTTAGAGATCCCAGTAAAAAGGGCCCTGTGCCCTGGGGGACCGTAGCTTGGTTGCGCTCTTGCAAACATGCTCTTCCAAACTATATAGTTCGCAACTGCATCTTGCGAGGTCGCAACTTGTTCGCAGCTTGCTAGCCCCCACGGGTTTTGAAGGGCCCTCTGGACCAACGAGGAAGGGCCCGAGGCGCCTGAAAGGCTGGCTGGAGAGTGTACAACGGGTCCGCGGATCGCAAGGCAGGGACCCTCCAATGTCAACCAGAGGACCTTGCGCGCCGGTCTGGGAGCTCCTGGACAGTGGGAGGAGCCTATATCGCTCAAAGGCCGACGCCGAGTAGTCAGTCTCA